ATTTTGCACCACTTCAAAATGCAACCTTTATTAAATGCACTGAACATATGTTCTCTGCATAAGACACTAACACTAGAATCTTGAGAGAGAGAGCGAGAGGTTGCCCATCTTAAAGAACACTTGCCAATACACAGAAAACAGGACAACTGACATGAGCTACTGGCCAAAATATAATGTTGCCACCTGGCCAATTCACCTCACATGGTAAATGGTTACCAACTTCATATCAGGAAAGTAAGCGCTATAATATATAGCACACATGGACACTATCAATTTTCGCCTGTCAGTTTTACTGTTTTTCGTGAGCGCATTTATATTGTTTCCTCAGCCTACAATGTGTACATATATATCTGCTGTGTTGCTATGTTGTTCACAACTGATCTGTTTGCGTGAAATAAAAAAAAAAATAAATATGTATATCACAAGCATATGGTACATCATCATCTATGTGTATACATAATTTATACTGTGTGACCATCGAAGATATAACATACATCTTAAGGCGTATTAGTATTATGGCAAAGCATACTAAAGATGCAGTAATGCTTTTCATTATGCCCCAACCCGTGTGTAGGTTGGTTAGGATTAAAAAATCCGGTGAATATGACTGCAGTGTGTGCATTTACAACGAAGTTGATTTTGGGGCGATACCATCTTATAGTTGGTGTGCAGTGCTTCATTTTTGCAAGACTATTATGGAAGTATTTTGCATTTGGGGCTGTTTGGTTTTGTGAATGCTCGTATTAAGTTATTTATAATAACAGAAACCTAGAACCTTGATTAGCCCGCGGACCGACAAGACGACAGACGACCGAATCCGACAAAATCGAAATTTGCAGCCGGGGGACGGTAATGGCAGTGATTATAGTACTAAATCTATCTGTAGAATAATCAGAAATCCGAGATTTGTCTTGTTTATTGCCAAGTAGGTTTCAACTATTGAGGAATTTGTGTCCTGGTGCTAGATGGTGCACAAAATAATAACATTAGCTCTTACCAAGAGAAACAGAAGTCACACAAGGGTAAGCAGGTCACACACAGAATAATGGCATTTTCAGAGCAAGTATACTAGTGAAATAAAAATAAGCTAATCAGGGACGAACGTACGAAGAACTGTGCAGAAGCTCCATGGAGTGCATTAGATGTAATGCATCCTGTATACAAGAGCGTGGTAGGTAAAGGCCCTCCTTATATGGCGAACAGTGTCAAAGGGTACCGGGCCTTTTAAGTGAGGCCCCACTCAGATGCGAAGAAAACTGGTGCTGTGTCCGTGAAAGGTTTTGGTTGTGATGGAACCGCAGGGCCCCCTGCCAGAGGGAAGTACTCTCCAAAAATTTGTGACCGGAGGGTCGAAGGGGTTCGCCACAATCCTTTGCCTGCACGCCTCAGGGTCCTAAAGAGCTACAGTCCCTGGAGGGGATGGCAAGATGCAGCCGATCACCTTTCTTCAGCAGATGCGAATGATACGCTTGCAGTCGCCTGTCCTCAGTGCAGCAGCGTAACCAGATGGTGATTGGAAGAGGTGAGATGACTCGATGATTGGCGGTGTAGAAGTACACCCTCATTGTTTTTGGGCAAGTGAAACTTCCTCAATCAGTTGCCGCAGGATTGAGTACCATCCTCTTGCTGGCGCTTTCTTGGTTGAGCACTTGAAAACGCAGTGAGTTGCACTGGTTAATAATTTTGTGATCCACGTGGAAGCAGAAGGACTCCACAGAGTCAACTGGGGAGTCACACAGATGAATGGGGCAGGGTGGGGCTGGGTTCGTTACTGAAGTTCACAACAACTCTGCACTGTTTTTTAAACATTTAGTCCAGGGTTTTTCTGGGCGTGTACGAGCCGTCTATCCAGGATGCGTCAATCTCCCATTTGTCTGTAGGCGGAACTCAAATCTCACGAGTCCAAAGAATGCAGCTGATGAGGGAGGATGGTCTAATACCGGCGCAACTTCAAGGAGGCCTGACGACTGGTGACTGGAGGCTGCAGGCTTTGGTGTACAGGGAGAAAGAGCAGGAGAGAAAAAAGAACGCATCCATTGAGGGAGCCCGCGGCTGATGGTCTGGAGTCATGAGAGTCATTTTTCCCACTTCATTGTGCCTGGTTTCCTGTCAGACAGAAGTCTGTGACCTCCACCTGCAGCTAAGAGTCAGGGCCACAGTGAGCTGGGAGACCTTGCTTCCTGTAAGCGAGCTGGGAGATCGATTGGTGTTTAACGCAGTCCACAAACAGCGATCTGCAGTAGATTCCTGGGGTGAGTCCAGATGCTGGCGAGGAGGGTGAAGTGCATCCAATTGCTTATCTTGCATCGTTCTACATTGATCCTGTTGGGCTTCTGTAGGGAGCCACGCTACTCTTATAACAGTATGTTTTATGTGCATGTTTTAAGTATGCTTATATTTATTTAAAAAAAATATATATTAAATGTATTCAAACGTAAAATATTCTATTTTTAACTCAAAACTACTAAATGAATTCAAACTCCAAAGTGACTCTAATGGCAGCTACAACCAGACCTCAGATCAGTGACTGCATTTACTTTGTATCAAATTATATTAATAAAATACTACTAATTACTGGCTAATGTTTTTAAGAGTAACCACCAACATTAATATCAATAAATTAAACTCAGTGATTTCTCGTGCATTGAACCTGTTGACGTTATGTCGATATCAGCCTGGTTCTGAAGTGTTATTATGAAGGAAACGCTGGGTGCAGCCTCCGCTTCCGGTGTAACCGAAAGTAAATTTGAGTTAGTCCGGTCCGGAGGTCCGATACACCGACAGAAAAGTGAAGAAGAGGAAAGATGAAGATGTTGCTGGTGTCTGTGATCCTCGTGCTTGGTAAGTTTGAACTTCTTGTGTCCAAAGTGCTTTGAGAAAGCTCCGGTCCACTCTGTATCTATCGAGTGTCATTTCCTCTTGGAGGAAACTCCCCAGAAACAGCCTGGAGGACGCTTCATCAATATGCTGATCAATCACCATTTACTATTAAAAGTTTCTATACAGCTAATGTTATTGATGAAGGCAGCTCTGTACATTACTGTCAGACTGGAAACTACAGAGGACTCGTCACAGCCTCTGGCTCACTTCCTGTTCAACAACTTTCCTCTCACACAAACATATATATTTATATATATATATATATATAAATAACAACTGAGGATACATTGTGTTTATTGATGATGATCAGATATAGATTACAAGGTGAATGGTAAATGATGATAATGATTGACAGCTGCAGTATCCAATCAGTGACAGATATAATGTGGCTCTGCTCTCCTGTTCCTTTAATGAAGGAGGAGGAGATTACTTTCTGTCTGATGGGACCAACAACAAGCTCATATAAAGAAACTGACCAACTGTGTCCTTACAGTTACCCAGCATGCCTCTGGAGGGAAGGACATTGATGGGATTGAGGGGGAGGAGTCTATTGTTTTGCCCTGCCCTCCTTTAACTGGTGAATCTGTGTTATGGAGCCGCGAGGATCTCGATCCCTCGACTGTTCATCTACGTCAAAAAACCAAAACTGGTCCAGAGAAAGATGAGTTTAAAGATCAAAACCCGTACTACAGAACCCGCACAGAGCTGCAGACGGACGCTCTGAAGACTGGAAACGTCAGCCTCACTCTGAAAAACCTTCGTCTGTCAGACAGAGGCAACTACATCTGTGAGGTCCTGAAGGATGGAAAGAGCTACGAGACACATGTACGCCTGCATATCATCAGCAAGGAAAAACAGGACATTCAGACTCAAGGTTAGTTTCCTTCCTTCATGATCCATCATCTGAGTCTGCAGGTATTAGACCAGATCAATCAGAGAGTTCAAAGGTCAATGAAGGTCTTTCTGTGTGTTTTCTGTTACAGTCGAACTTCAACAACAACAGAGAATAAGAGACATATTGATCGGTGTCTGTGTCAGTGTGGTGCTGATCATTATCTGTTTTGTTGGTCTGTTCCTGTTCCTGTATCGTCGTGGACACATCAACTTCAGCAAAGAAGGTGTGTGTGTGTACTATTTTTTTAGGTCCCGTGTTGGACACAACCACTTTTCACAAGCACTGGATG